AAGCTTTCATACATCATCGCAATGATTTGTCGTCCTTTGATGATCTTCCCTTCGGGCCTGCTGATGTAATCGTTGGCCTTCCGGTTCACCTCCAAGTACAGGTCAGCAGATTTGTCACCACCAGCACGTAGCATTGCGACCATTGCGATCCCCAATTTGACGTCTACGCTCTTAAACTTCTTGTGTCCTGAATCGTTCAGTGCTTCGACATCAGGGAATGGGTTGAATGCTGGTGCCAGCCATAACATCCAGTCCTCATGATTTGGATCGGCTGATGCTCCTAAGACATTCGCCGTGCATACGGATCGCCAGTTGTTGAGGTGAGTGAGAGTAGGCCATGGAGGTACGGTCACTTTGTCGGCCTCCCTCCTGGAAATTCTCACTTCCGTGACTTCAGGATCTGCGTCTCCATCAGGATCACGCGCATGAGATCCAGGATCCGATTCAGGTTTGCCTCCACCGCTTTTCTTCTTATCATCATCATCATCAGGCGGGTCAGGAGGGTCATACCCCGTGCCGGTTCCTTCATCGTGCTCTCCATCTTCGTTCTCGTCGCCAGCCTCGTCACCGTCATCGTCTCCATTATCCTCCTGAATCGTTTCAGCGAATAATCTCCACTCATCACGATCAGCTCTGAGACGTTGTTCGGCTTTCTGGGCCTTGAGTACTTCGCTGCGCAGATCGGCAATCTTCTCCTCGTACCGTTCCGCGACCTCTTTCTCGATCTGACGTCTCCTTGCTTCATGAATGGAATCGTCATAGGCAATAGGGGGACCGATGAGGTCGTTGCCCTTCGTAGATGCGGTGATACCGTCGACACCAACAGGTCTTGAGGAGCTGGCAGATGCTGTGGACTTCGATCCCAACATCCCGCGATCCTCCAAGAGTTCGCGTAGCTGTCGATCACGCACGGCTGCCGCATCACTTTTCCCATGAAATCCGCTTGGTATGCCGAACAAAGTGGCTGCACTAGGCGTGGAACGCGCAAGTGCTGGGCTGCTAATACCTGGCACGTAGTGCTCGGGCATTGCATCCGCCACGATTGGCATTGAATTGCGGCCAGTGAAGAAGTTTCCACCGGTGAATGGAATTCCATCCATCACAAGGTTCTTGTCCTTGTCCGATTCCGAGAATGCGAACTTCTCTTTGGCGACTGGACTAACTTGACTTGGGGACCGTATTTCAGGGGATCGTACCTCACCTCCTACGGAAAATGCAGGCACTACTTCCTTTCCTACGTGCTCCCAGCCAGACTCAGTAGTCCTCGAAGACATGGGCATGCTTGAAGGCCGTGTCGCTCCTCCGTAATTGGAGTTTCGCGCTGCCTCCAATTCGCTGCGTGTCCTCGCTTGAAGATCTTCTTGTGCTTTGAGCGTTTTCCTGAGTTCACTCAGCTCGTCGTGCAAGGTAGGCAATGCACGCCTTGCATGATCTTCATTCTGATGAAGTCGGTCCTCTGCATCTTGCATCCTCTTCACAGCCATTTTGCGGTACTCTTCTTCTTCGCCAAGACGTTCGCGAAGCCGAAATCGTTCTTGATCAATGGCTGCGCTGTTTCCAGCTAGCCCTTGGATCTCGTTCACGGCCCGCAACTCCTGGTTCTTGACCAAGTGGAATCGTTCCTGCATTGCTTGTAAGGCTTGTTCCGAACTTGCTGTGTTTGACCGGAGGACCAAGTTCTCTCTGGCATGTTCATGAAGTTCATGAGTCAGACGCTCATACTCACGTGCCATAAGCTCACCATCGCCTTGCGCTCTTGCCTCCAACTGCACAAAGTTAGTGGCTGCCTCCGTGCGGAACACGTGTAGCTGTTGAGCTAACTCCTCGGCAACGGCATGTGCTTGACGTTGTTGAGCAGAGTTCTGTTCATCCATGCGAAACAAAGCTGTTTCATAGTCTCGCTTCATCTCCTGATTGACATTGTTGATGTGCCTCATGGCTAAGCATGCATGGTCACGTTGTCGTTCCAATTCTTCAATGCGAATTCCAGATCCTTCATCTTCTTGTTGCATCTCCTTGATCTTGTCCATCAGGGTCTGAACAACTCCTTCGTATTCTTGCATCTGACTGCGATAGTACATCTGCTGCGCAAGGTTAGATGCTTCGAGCTGTTGCGAAATCGTCAGTTCCTGATAGGCATTCGGACCATCGGCTATGGCTGGCGTGGTCACCGATGACGCATCACCACGTGCTGGGATAGTGTCCAGAGTCATATCCAGATCGTCAGCATCACGTGGTTGATTGGTAACCATCCGATTCCAAGTCATGGATTTGTCACGCCCACGAGTAGCCGAAGTCCTCGATCGTGCTGAAGAGCTTCTCGAAGATGATGGTCTTGACTTCTTTTCCAAGGTCTTCACTCCTTTGTCCTTGGCCCTGGACGTAGTCCGAGGTGCCTGAAAACCAGACGCTTCGGCTCGTCGTTCGGGAGCCTTGCCCGTCCTCGAACCTGTGGATGTCGGACGCGAAGGCGTAGATGCTCTTGGTAGACTCTTTGCTTTCACCTTGGGAACTGCCTTTGCAATGGCAAGCGCAGAAGATTGACCTTTGTCATCTTCCGTGGAGCTATCAACGGATTGCACCACTGTGTCGTCAGCTGTTGACTCACCAACGGCTGGCGCTGCCACATCGGCACCGAAAGTCATTGTCGTATCTTGGCTTGATCCCGAGTTCATTGTGGTCGTAGTAGATCAAGTAGTCGTTGCTGTAGAAAGGCAGAGCCGCGTACGGCTGATAACCTGCGTGGGGGATTGATCTCGACTAGGTTGCTGCTCTCCCCACCAGAGCTGTAATGAATGTAGGTGTGGTTGGCTTGCACTCTCCACAGACTGGACCCTGTCTCTCTTACACTTCCACGCGTGCAATCCTATGCAGGCAGAACCGGCGGCCGTTCCTTTTGCACTCACTGCCGGCGGCGGTTCGTCTGTGCAACGGGATAGCTCTGATTGCTCAGGATAGAAGACGCTTATAGCACTTAGCTATGGGCATTGACTTGAGCCAAACGTTGCGTGGGCGGTCACATAGAAAGGTAAAGATGAGGGACGCGTAGCGTGCCCCCTTAGAGTCGAGGGACGCGTAGCGTGCCCCCTCCTCTTGCACTTTACACAGTCTTGCTCACAGCTCTTAAAGTGACACCTTAGAACTTGACAAGGCATCGCAGTCCGTTCGCATACCTAATAGCTTATAGGTATATCAATATGTACTAACATATGGATATACCAAAAAAGCTGTTAGATAATATACGAATATGATAAATGAAGTAGCATACCAGGATACTCATACACTAATATGTTAATAATCGAAGATAATAGCACACCATTATACTAATGTACTCATGCACGAACGTACGCATGCATTAATATACCAAGAGCATACAAACATACAGGTATACAAACATATTACTGTTCGAATACATTATAATGTGTTGGTATACTAAGCTGTTTATAGAATCTATCAGTATACTAATATATCAAAACTAACTATAGTATTGATACGCATACTAGCACGTCCGCGAATATTACACTGATGTTAAATTCATGATTAAGACTGATTCAAACTGACATCGATATTGGCACTGGCATTAACACTAATTTTCACTAAATATGCTAGTGTAATATACGAATACTGTAAAAGGCAAGTACACTGACATGTTCACATGCCATTATGCCATGTGTCAGTGTACTTGCATATTACAGTATTCGTGTCTTAGCAAGTTAGCATATCAATACAGTATAATCAGACGTTAACAAGTAGTATATTGTCACGTTGGAAACTGGGTATATGACAAATTAAATACGAATATACTACGTTAGTACACGAATGCATTGATATATTTGCTTTTCAGATAGTGGTATGTATATCTGCGGACATTAGTATACGCAGGTGTCTGTTAGTATTGGCATTAATATCAATATGAATATGACTATTGGTAGGCGTAGGAGTATTAATGTTAATAATAGTATTAGTAATGTGCATATTCGTAATAAAAGCATTCATATAAATGTCAACGTTAGTGTTAAAAGCACTACACAGTAATCTTACTTGAGTCATATATAGAGCAGATTCCAGCATGTCCAAAATTTCCAAAATTCTCTCCCCTAAGTTTCCGGATTTCCAAAATTTCCAAAATTTCCAAAATTGCCAAAATTTCCAAAATTTCCAAAATTGCCAAAATTTCCAGACCTAGTCGACATAATTTTTTCCAAAACATAAGGGCGGACTTTTTGGAAATTTTGGAAATTTTGGAAATCCGGAAAGTTAGGGGAGAGAATTTTGGAAATTTTGGAAATGCTGGAATCAAGTAAGATTACTGTGTAGTGCTTACTATGTAGCGTATCAGCACAACCCTCATCCATACACGTGTGCTCTGTAATTCCTTTCTTGGTAGGACACCCGCGCGCCTTATCGTGCTGCTTTCTGGTCTCAGTCTTTTGGTGGTTCCAGGGATACGTTCGGAGGGCTCAAACTCGATACCCCAGAAAAAGCACGAACACGCCGGTGGGAGCGATGTTTTGAAGGGGATGGTCTGTCATGGGGGGGGGGGGTGACCATATATATATATATATATATATATATATGGTTCCGAGAGCGTCTTATGGATAAGGATAAAAGATATGGCTGTCAGATATGATCTGGTCCGTGGAGGATACGGTCTGGGAAATGGGGCAAAGCGTGGGGTGGCGGTCGGGTGGTAGGCGTGTGTTGAACGGGGAAACATCGCTTGCCAGCAACAGGACCTGGGTTTGTGATTGCAAGGATCGTGCGTTCCCCAGATAACAATACGGTGAAGGCTGCTGTTCCAACACTCATGTACATATGCGCTAACAAGCAGGATAGGGATAGACAACACGTAGGATTGTAAACAAAGTCCAGAACCGCAAGCTATTCAAGCACGGATGTATCAGGCAACGGCTTCCACCGTAGATAGCGGAAGTAGCCTATGCGATATTGAAGCACAACCTTGCGAGAACGTCTTGTGTTTTTTCCACGCGTGCCGCGGGTTACATTCCGAAGTCAAGCTGCAATGGAGGCGAGATCTCGTCAGTCACTTCAGCCATCATAAATCCGGGAGAGTTTGTGCCGTGCAGAAGGGTGTCCAACATCGGCAGGTCGACGTTGTCAACTTGTGGCATCTTCAGAATGTCGAAGTCGCGGGGAATCGACAACTTCCGAAGCAAAGTCCCCAGATTGACCGGGCTGATTCCTTCCATGACCATGAAAGTCTTCTTGGTGTTGTCGGCCTGGTTCTCCTGGCGGTGTGCATGTGGAACACACCGCAGTCATATAGCAAAGAGGAGACTGGCAACAGTGGCATAAGTGCGCACTGAAAACTACATCATGACCGAAAAGAGACAATAACCCATCGAACACCAACAAATGCTATCCCAGAAAATGCTGAAACAACGCCGGAGATCAAACGAACAACCAACATGATCAACATGATACATGTCATGAGTGGTCTGACTGCGATAAGTTATGCTGAGTATATCTCCACTTGTCCTGAATTGCTTTCATGCGAAAAACCGTCTTTCGCAACGCTTTCGCGCTCGATTCCAACCACACACCTTTCCCTGTTTGGCTGCCTAACATGCTTCTCGTACGTGAAAGTAAGTACACATTATACAAGACTCCGTAGGAAACACTTCGGGTTGACAGCACAAACACAGGGTGCGTGAGTTTTGGCTTTGGCCCTAATGTCATCATGTGCATGGGGTTTATAAGATTATCCATATAAACCCTCGGTGCTTCATGTGAGGTGTTCTTTTTAAGGCTCATAGGGCAGTTTTAGGGTCTCGGTCCTGTGGTGCTTTTGGAGAGCGGTTTGGGCTCCGAGCTTCCACCGGATGCAGGGGTGAAGCGGAACCAAGTTGCTAGCCTAAACCAATTCGTTTTGGTTATTTCAGTTTTTTGTTCTGCAACAATCACACTTTCGGTCCGTGGTGTGCAGCCTCTTTCAAATCCTTTGAATTTTGGGGCTCACAGCAGCTGGGAAAGAGAGGGCGTAGAAAGGTAGAGCCCCGGAGCTTCGGACGATCTTCAGGGCTGCAGGAAACGCGAAGGTTTCGGTCTTCCATTCCTAACGTGCCATGCGATCTTGGGGTAGCGTGGAGAAGCTACGCATCCTGCTTGCAAGGGTTACAACGCACCAAGCTCCATCCTGCGGCTGAGCATTTGGTCAATCTACCATCGTTTCTGCTGCCGCCTTGTTCTGAAGCTGTATAATTACCCAGCAACAGGAGCACATAATGACATAATAATAGTCCTAGCAGTCGGCAGCAGGTAGCAGTTGCAGTAGCAGTAGCGGCAGCGGCAGCAGCAGCAGCAGCAGCAGCAGCAGTAGGCACCTCCTACCAACTACACCGGCTCTTAGCCATGCTAACATAACATCCTTTTATTCGGTTTTTACAGCACTTGAGTCGCATAGGATCATCTTATTATGAAGCCTCAAAATCGCATTGTCAAGTCTGCAAACTCGAACTTCGGATTCGTTCGGATTCGGGGGTTCCTTTTTGAGGGGATAGGGAGGGCGGGGCAGGATAACGACATTGCTACGCAGACACCCCTAACAATATCTCCAGAAGAACCGTTTTACCCAGCATTTACAGTGCTTTCATATTTCGGGCCATCTTATATAGTCTCCACGCCTACTTTTTGACTTTGCCAACTCGACCTTGGGATTTCGGAGGGCGGCGAAAACGCGAAATTCGGTAGGGGGGGGCATTTTAGGGATGACCACCGCACTGTTTCGCGGATTTCGCGGACACACCGAACAATATCTTCACACCCGATTACGCACACACCACACACTAATTACTTGAAAAACAATCCCTCCTACGCCCAGGCCAAGGCTTTTGGGGTGCTGGTGAGCCCCTGCCATGTACATCTGGCAACTTGGTTTTAATTTTTAGAAGACGCGTCGCTTCCGGTGTTAGGAAGCACCGTCGTACTATCTGACAACCTGTGGTTTAGCAGCTTCTTCCCCGTCGAGTTTGCAACTGCAGTTGCTGTCGCAATTTTGGGGTTGAGGCTCTGCAACTTCACCGGCTGTGACAGATGTGACAGGTGAGGAAACATGAGCCTCTGGAATTTCTGCAGCTGCCACAAATAGGGAGCCTGAACCCCTGCATCTTCTGGAGCTGTCGCAGTTGGGGAGCCTAGAAGCTGCCACTGCCCAGCCCAGATGGCGCAAGTGTTGTACATTCAGGGCAGTCTGTCATGAACTGGCTTGGGTGTCCGGAATTTGGGCCTGCAAACTGGGCCGAAAACCTCAACAAAAAGCTGCTTAACGGTCAACGTTGTAAGCAGCGGAACTGGTTTTGCTTTTCTGGAGGCCTTGGATGTGGCCACTGACGCAGCCCCCAAGCCGGGCCTTGGGTGTGGGTGTAGTGTGGGTTTGGGTGGGTGTGGGTGTGGGTGTGGGTGTGGGGGTGGGCGTGGGCGTGGGTGTGGATGTGGTGTGGGTTCGGGTGGGTGTGGGGGTGGGTGTGTGGGTGTGGGTGTGGGTACAAGGCTACGTTAGAGATGCGCGGCGCCTTGCGCGGCAGCAGTTTCGCTTGGGAGGGAACAGCATATATGCGCGGCACAGTGCGCGGCAGTGTCAAGGGATGCTGCCGCGCACGGCGCCGCGCCCGGCTACTAATACTGCTAATACTTCTACTACTACTACCACCACCACCACCACCACGACTACTACTACTACTACTACCACCACCACTACTACTACTACTACTGCTACTACAAGCCCTACTGCTACTACCACTACTACTGCTACTACTACCACTAGTACTACTATACTACTACGACTACTACCACCAGCCCTACTACTACTACTACTACTACTACTACTACTACTACTACTACTACTACTACTACTACTACTACTACTACTACTACTACTACTACTACTACTACTACTACTACTACTACTACTACTACTACTACTACTACTACTACTACTACTACTACTACTACTGTACTACTACTACTACTACTACTACTACTACTACTACTACTACTACCACCACCACCACTACCACGACCACGACCACTACCACTACCACGATTTTATTGGACGCTGAGCGAGCGGGCTCTGCTCATTGCGGGCGTGTGAGACTGCCTTTGCACCTGAACAAAGGTCTGAGAGCAGAAATGCTAAGGGCCTGGGCCTGAAAGCGCTGAAACAGGCTACCGTGAAGAGAGCTACTCTACAAGCTACCTCAAAAGCCGGTTCATGCGTCTCAGGCGTGGGTGAGAAACCCTCCGTCACCCTCAGTGTGGACTATGGCGTCCCATGTCCACGGACCGATGATTGATGAGCCGTACCCCCTCGGGACCGTCACTCAGAGTGCCTGTTGCGTGGCGTCCCAATCATGGTCACTCTGAATGAAAGGCGATGGGCCGTAAGGTCGCAAAGGTGATGAGCACGTGGAACGGCTGCTAGTGCTGTTATCTGAGGCAGCTCCGCTTTTGTGGGCAAGCAGATTGCATCGGTGAACGATGTGGCACACCCTGGCGGTAAGCACACTGTGCCTAATAAGGCTAACCTTATTCGTAAGAGGCGTACTCCCCTCCAGAGGCCAGGCTTGCCGGCAATGGCTTGGGGGCCTCGGACAACCCCCCATTCTCGAGCCGAGAATGGGGGGTTGCAAAACCTTGATTTTTAGGCCTCGGACAAACCCCCCTTCTCGAGCCGAGAATGGGGGTTTGTAAAGCCGATTTCAGCCATTGGTCAGCTGTGTTGCTGACAGGCGTTGCCTTTCTGGGAAAGCAGCGAGCGTTGCCCGACTAGCACGACAGGTATAGGCCGCTATTGCACACAAACGCTGAGTAGAGGAGCTACGTCAGCTGTACGACTTGAGCAGCAAAACTGAGTGACAGCGTTCCTGCTCCCTGCCGTACAGGCAGGTCGGTCCCACAGAGCCAGTAGGTCGCCCCCTCCCTGTAAAAGGAAGTGGGGGCCCCTGGCCGCAGGGGAACCCTAAGCTTAGTCGTCAGAAACATTGACTGACATGGGGCCAGCCTCCGCTGTGTGCGGTATTGAACCAAGTCGCACGAACAGCACATAGCAGCCGTGGCGTGCCTGCCTGAGATCTGAATCTGAGGCCTGAACCGACGGACGACCATCGTCCGTGCTGAGCCAGGGTTGATCGGGGTTGCTCCTCCAGAGGGAGCGATAATGTCCACTGTGCGGGGTGTCACCTATGTGGAAAATACAGGATTGAACCCATCCTTTCTCTAGTTGTACGGAGCCCGTCGGGGCCCACTGCGAGAGCTGAAGGGGTGGTGCAGACCAGTGACAGCATAGGTGAGCTTGCGGCCTTCAATAAATCGCGCCACTGAGAGAACCACCAGTCGTTGCTGCCCTGGAAAGGCGGTGTGCACCGGCTGGCCAGACCACCGAGAGAGCAGCTCCTGAAGTGCATGGGATCCACCTGTCGTTGGAGCTGGCAGCAAAGCGAGCGGACCTCCCGCATCGGTGACCTCAGTAGTGTCTACATCCCTGACTTCCCAGGGTCGTGCAATCGGAAAGGCGGTATAATGCCTGCAAATAAGGCCACTAGAAACTCCGAAGCATCTTGTTGTTGGCCATCATAGCGCCAAGTGGGAGTAAGATGGCGAAGCGTGAAAGAGGCAGTCAGGGTGAAAGGAGAACCAGAGACAGAGTCAGCCACTTCCTGATGGAGGGAGGTGCTTGCCCCTCCGTGCTCCAGCAAGATGCGCGTCGGCACCAGGGCCGAAAGCGTTGAGTTAACATAGCAGTAGTTGGAGATGTTGCGCAGCGAGCGAGGAGCAGCGAGCGCGCCGTCCTTTGATTCTACTGTCCCTGACTTCGGTGGCCGGGGGCCTGCAGGCGTTGCCTGGCGAGTCTGGGGCGTTGCTCCAACAGCGGTGGTATCGTCCCGTGTGGGTGCGTTGCCTTGTGTCGTGCCAACCGCTGGCATGTACCTGCGTAACGGTCCGCCCTGGCAGCGGGAAAGTGCATGAACCAAGTCATAAAACAGAATCTGAAAAAGGATCGGACATTGTGCCGGATGCTGCCTCTTATCCGTAACAGGCTTGCGGCAGCACGGGCAAGGCATGCCCTTGACAAGGGTCAGGCCTGATTTGCTGCTCTGAGTTGCAGCTGTAGCGCCATGAGCCGCCCATTCAGGTTTGTGGGCCTGCCGGATGTGAGACTTGAGCTTGGTATTGTCCGGGGTCCAGAACCCACACAGCAAGCAATGTGACATAAGATCCTGAGACTCATCAG